GGGGGGGGGGTGTTTAGTCCCGAACAAGAAGGAAATCTGACTTGGTCTTCAGCATGACAGGATGGACCGCAAGGACGTCCCACTGTGCGGACAGCCAGACACAGAAAGAGACACCAGGTGACCTCGCGTACATGAGCAGAGTTGAACTCGGGAATGGCGGGCGGTCACCAGGACGGGACGGCAAGTTACCGACCGGTGAGCGCAGAGCTTCTGTTTTGCCGGGTGACAAGGTCCTGGAGGTGTAATGACACATGTAGAGATCCATTTTCTTTTAAACTTGAAAAAAGGAGGCTTTGACACCAATGGGCTTCTGTTTAGTGAATTAATGGGTCACTATAACCAAACGATTGTCAGTCACAATTTAACTGAAAACCAGAAGGGTAAAAATAGCAAAGACTAAACACACGGGACCCTTTCTGCGTCCTCGCCCCGGGAGGTGTGTCTCTCCTGCACGAGCCCAGCTCTGACTGCTCGTCTGCTCCGTCTGCTCCGTCTGCTCCGCGGAGGGACGTGGCCGAGCCCGGCGCTGTCAGGCCAGGCTCTGCCGGGAAGCAGCGCGGTCTGCATTTGGGGACTCCAGGTCCCCACCGGTTGCATGAAATGGAAACTGATGTTAACGGGAATATTCCAGGTCGTTTCCCTCCACCCATGTAGCAGCTGGAACCGCCGAGGGCAGGCAAGGTCCCCTGCCCCCAGCTTCCGGAACCGGGCCCTGTTGTCAGGACCCACGACGGCAGAGGGCTTGTATCCCGTCCTGAAAGGCAAATGTGCAGTCTACCGTGGCATCCCGCCAGCTGCTGCTGCTCCAGGAGCTTGGAGGTAAAACGGGCAGGGTTGAATGTCGGGCCCACGTGGGGATTAAGGCTTGCCTGCTTTCCAGACGTGGCTCCGTTGCTGTGAAGCTGACCCAGTTCTCTAATAGCTGTTACCTCGACCCAGGGTTTCTCAGCACCATTAAAGCAGCAGTGCTTTTTTTATTGTCGTATATCCTTAAAATTTCTCCTTCTATGTATTTCTACTGGTCGCTTTCCTGAAAGATAAACATTGTCATTGGCTTACGACCGTCTCTCCTGAGCTGTTTTCCTTTCCACGCAGGAGACAGGAGTTGCAATGGCGGCTTCCTCACAGGTGAGCTCAGGTAAGGGCCCTTTATTCACGGCGGTCTTCCCGGCGGGGCCGACCTGTGGGTGGAGCGGGCTCTCCCTCGGGCAGGCTCGGCGCCGCAGCGCCCCCTCGTGGCCGCCTCTGAGACTCCAGGGAAGGCTCACCTCGTGCCTTCCAAAGTCTGAGAAAGTGCTGGTAATTTTACTTCCTAATATAGTTAGGGCCTCACCTAATCTGAAGAACGGTAACTGGCTTCACAGTAATTGCGAGGAGATGGGGGAAGAATCGTCAAGCCAGTGTGATGGCGCTCGTGGGGTCTGAGCTTCAAATCTAACACCACCCTATTCTCCAGCCCTGGCTTTCCAGAGGAAGCTGAGCAGGGCCTGACCTGCCAGAACAGTTCAAGAAAGCTCCGTGGCGCTGCGGGCCCCGTCCGGGCGGGAGCCCAATCCGTGCTGCTGTACCAAACCCAGCCACGGGGGGCGCTAACGGGCCGTGGGCCGGAGCCGGGTACACGCGGACAGCGAGGACCACAGAGCCCTGCCGGACGAACGCTCGTCCTCTTCCCGCACAGCGAGGGTGGGGTTGCCGCGCTCCGCTTACCTGGCACGGGGGCCAGGATTTCAGATTCATGGAGAAGCTAGGCAGCTGCCACCCGAGTGCGAGTGCGGGGACAGCGCGGACTGTGCTGGCACTCGCCCCGCCCTCCCCGGAGTGGCCGGACCTGACACTGCACCTCGGGCCTCACAACCCGCTTGCTGGGAGTACTCAGGACTTGGGACGGTGCCGAGAGTGCGGAACAACACCGGCTCCTTTGCCGAAGGTCAGCGAGGACCGGGCGCTCCTGTAGCGCCGCCACTCGGCCACCTGTTAAACTGCGCAGACCTCACGTCCGGCACGCGTCCACACGGGAGCCGACCTGAGCGCTGCGACCACATGGTAGACTCTGCAGACCACCTGTGCTGCTCCTGCGCCCTTGAGCTGCATGAGCTGCATGTTTTTAAAAATATGGAATGGAGGCGTGTTATCCTCCAGCCCAGAATACTGACCATCGTCCATCCTAAGTTTGCTAACTCCGGCTATGCACAGAGTGGGAGACGCAGTGAAGTTCCAGTCTAGAACCAGCTCCGTGGAGCAGCACAGAGGGTCTCTAATGGACGGAAATTGTCCACTAGAAGGCGGCCACCCTGCCTGAAGCCACGGCCACACTTCCTGGCACGGCCCTGGTGTAGTGGCTCTGTCCGTAGTCATTTTAAAAACTGAGTGTCTGTGGCCAGCCCCGTGGCCTGATGGCTAAAGCAGCCTGGTCCACATGGCTGATGGCAGAGTCCAAGTCCCCAACGCAGTCGCGCGAAACACAGCGGGTACAACCGCTGAAATGGGACAGAGGGACAGGGCTTGTGGCGTGACCCCACCTCACGGAAGGCGCTGCCTCCTCTACCCACCTGACTCTGTCTCTCTCTGTCTCACGGAAGGTGCTGTCTCCCCGTCTGCCCACCTGACTCTGTCTCTCTCTGTCTCACGGAAGGTGCTGTCTCCCCGTCTGCCCACCTGACTCTGTCTCTCTCTGTCTCACGGAAGGTGCTGTCTCCCCGTCTGCCCACCTGACTCTGTCTCTCTCTGTCTCACGGAAGGTGCTGTCTCCCCGTCTGCCCACCTGACTCTGTCTCTCTCTGTCTCACGGAAGGTGCTGTCTCCCCGTCTGCCCACCTGACTCTGTCTCTCTCTGTCTCACGGAAGGTGCTGTCTCCCCGTCTGCCCACCTGACTCTGTCTCTCTCTGTCTCACGGAAGGTGCTGTCTCCCCGTCTGCCCACCTGACTCTGTCTCTCTCTGTCTCACGGAAGGTGCTGTCTCCCCGTCTGCCCACCTGACTCTGTCTCTCTCTGTCTCACGGAAGGTGCTGTCTCCCCGTCTGCCCACCTGACTCTGTCTCTCTCTGTCTCACGGAAGGTGCTGTCTCCCCGTCTGCCCACCTGACTCTGTCTCTCTCTGTCTCACGGAAGGTGCTGTCTCCCCGTCTGCCCACCTGACTCTGTCTCTCTCTGTCTCACGGAAGGTGCTGTCTCCCCGTCTGCCCACCTGACTCTGTCTCTCTCTGTCTCACGGAAGGTGCTGTCTCCCCGTCTGCCCACCTGACTCTGTCTCTCTCTGTCTCACGGAAGGTGCTGTCTCCCCGTCTGCCCACCTGACTCTGTCTCTCTCTGTCTCACGGAAGGTGCTGTCTCCCCGTCTGCCCACCTGACTCTGTCTCTCTCTGTCTCACGGAAGGTGCTGTCTCCCCGTCTGCCCACCTGACTCTGTCTCTCTCTGTCTCACGGAAGGTGCTGTCTCCCCGTCTGCCCACCTGACTCTGTCTCTCTCTGTCTCACGGAAGGTGCTGTCTCCCCGTCTGCCCACCTGACTCTGTCTCTCTCTGTCTCACGGAAGGTGCTGTCTCCCCGTCTGCCCACCTGACTCTGTCTCTCTCTGTCTCACGGAAGGTGCTGTCTCCCCGTCTGCCCACCTGACTCTGTCTCTCTCTGTCTCACGGAAGGTGCTGTCTCCCCGTCTGCCCACCTGACTCTGTCTCTCTCTGTCTCACGGAAGGTGCTGTCTCCCCGTCTGCCCACCTGACTCTGTCTCTCTCTGTCTCACGGAAGGTGCTGTCTCCCCGTCTGCCCACCTGACTCTGTCTCTCTCTGTCTCACGGAAGGTGCTGTCTCCCCGTCTGCCCACCTGACTCTGTCTCTCTCTGTCTCACGGAAGGTGCTGTCTCCCCGTCTGCCCACCTGACTCTGTCTCTCTGTCTCTCTCTGAGGAGCGCATGCACCCTCTGGCAAATGTTGACAAACAAAAGTGCCCGTTCAGCTGGGGGAAGATAAATGGAAGTTCAGCGTCTGCCCTCAGGATAGGAAGAGTTTCACAGGAAAGGGAATGTATGTGCCATGCGACAGGACATTTTTGTTAGGAACACGCGGGTTCTGAGTGACATTCCCCTGGAGGACCACGGGCTGTGTTTGTTTTGAACCAACTGGTCGGGACACACCCTCTTTCACCCCCTTTACCCAAACTCCCATTATTTCGGACTCTTTGAATAGAAAACTGCTTCTAGAAATGCTTCTCACCACCGGCACTTCTCGAGCAGTACCGGCCTCGCAGGCAGCTCCGGGGAAGGCTACGAAGGGTGGCAGGTGGTGCGAATGTGGGGTGCGGCCGAGAGGAGGAGGAGGGCGCTGTTTCGCCAGGAGTTTCACCCTCCAAGGCTGGGTGAGCAGGGGTGCAGGGAGTGGGACAAGACACGAGGACATGGCCTTGCATGGCTCACTAGCAGGTTCAGTGACGCTCACGGAGCTCCAGGTAGACCTGCAGGGCCCACAGCAGGACACGGAGCGCCTCCTCCTCTGGGAGCTGGTGACACGCGTGGGGAACACGCAGAGCACCTCCTCCTCTGGGAGCTGGTGACACGCGTGGGGAACACGCAGAGCGCCTCCTCCTCTGGGAGCTGGTGACACGCGTGGGGAATGCACACAGAGCACCTCCTCCCTCTCGCAGCTCCCAGCACATGGGGTTGGGCGGAGCCAAACCGAGGCCATCATGGGCTCACCAGGCTGGACCAAGGCCAAGCAGAGCAGGGCAGAGCAGGGAGGATGGGCAGAGCAGGGAGGGTGGGCAGAGCAGGGAGGGTGGGCAGAGCAGGGCAGAGCCGACCAGGTGCTCCTTTCCCTTAAAAGGGCTGCAGACAATCGTGGCTCGTTGCCAAATGCAAACTGCCACACACAGATGTGCATCCATCCACAGCGTAGACAGCGAAGCCACCATTACGTAACAAGCTTGCAGGCGCAGTGCAGGTGTAGCGAACTCATTTCCCGTGTGCTCGAACTCGCCAGACGGCAGAGGAGGAGCTCCACTCACAGTGGAGGTGCTGCTGCCTGAGGTCACCTGCAAGGTCACCTGAGCAGCTTCCAGCCAGGAGGGACGAGAACGTGGATGAGGGCGTCCCTCTGCCCTGTCCTAATTCTGATCTTACTATTGGCTTGCTGTATGGCCTAGGGTAGTCGCTTTGCACCCAGCAGGTTGGTGTACGTCGTGAATAAAGAGGCAAAGATCCGGGTAAAGACGGCTGACTCGAATGCCTGGCCAGGCTCTGTGGGCGAACATGGCAGCCTGCACAAGGGGGGTCTGGTGCGCCCTTCTCAGCCCGTGTGTCAGGGTGAGTCTGTGCTGGGCCACGTCCTGGAGACTGTGGGATTAGCACAAGACCAAGAACTCTGTGTCATCAGAACCCAGGAGTTTGGAAAGGACATTTCCCCAAACTAAACTAAACATCACTACTCGAAAATAATAAAATGCTACGGAAAGAAAATGTCACCGCCACCACAAATCGACAGTGAGGGCCAGCCCGAGAAAACACCTGGAAAGTAGCATTCAGTTAAAAGCCACCAGAGGAAGCTCCTGCTGTCCCAGTGGCTGGCGTTACTCACCGCAGAGCAGCTGCAGTCTTAGGAGGGAGACGCCAGCTGCCTCCACTTGCAGCCTGGGAGCCGAGACCCGCTCTCCGCGAGGCGGCCGGCTGACCCCACTGCAGCGTGGGGGTCCTGGTCAGGCCGGAGGGTCAGGCTCCAGGGCTCGGACGCGGTGACAGGCCAGCCCAGCTCTCCCCGCAGCAGCCCTCTCCCGGGGCTGTGGTTTCCTGCCCTGTTGTCCCCATTTGTTTTACTAGAAACTCGCGTCATGTCTGGAAAGCACTTCCATTTCCAGGCAAGAGGCCCTCAGACCATAGCGGATTTGGGAGCGCAATGAGACGGGCTTACAGAGAAAGGAGCGGGAAGAAGAGAAAGGCAAGGACGCCCTGAGCCATGAAGGGCAGTGCCGCAGGTGAGCTGGAGCCGGCCCTGAGTCCACACCGCCCCTCGAGGGGCCAGGGATCTTACCGTGCAGCTTCTGAGACCCTGGCGGAGACAGGAGTGGCGAGTCAGGACAAAGGCGAGCGCAGACCGGAGTGTAGCTCAGGAGCAAGTCTGACCTGGGGTTCGTGCCCTCGGGGGTAAACTGCGGGATGCTGTCTAGGTGTGGGGGGAGGTGACAGTGAACAGGACAAGCCGCCTGCCGGGGGCGCTCAGCATCTGGTAACCCAGTTTAACCTGTGGCATAACTTACCACAAGTGTGATGAAAACAGCATAGGGAGAAAAGGGGTTCTTCAGGACCAGCAGAAGGCATAAGGGTTACATCACTGGACTCCCACGTCGTCGACCACTGTTCAAGTCCCAGATCCAGCAGCTTGAAACTCATGCTGGACACCTGTGTGCGTGTGCCCAAAATCCTGGGAGGAGAATGGAAGAGAAGGGATTGCAGCATGGCCATCCCCCGAGGGAGGGTGATTTCTCGCTTTCTATCTCTCTGTCTCTCTAGCAAGCATACATGTACTACAGCAAAAATCTCTCTTAAAAAAAAAAGTTTTAAAAAAGAAAAGGGGTTCTTCTCTTCCCTTTTTTGTAAACACATTTTTTTTTACAAAAAAAAATGTTTTTAAAAAGAATACTTTGGGGCCAGCTGGTGGTGTGGGGGTCAAGGCACTGGACCCCACATACCCCACTGAGCAGTGGGTCCCAGACTCGGTGAAAACCACACCAGGTGCATGAGTGTGTGTGCCCAAAGCCCAACAGATCATGGAGAATTAGGCATTTTGGCATGGCATTGCCCCTGGAGGGTGATTTCTCACTTTCTCTCTGTCTCTGACTCCAGTGAGCACACATGCCATGTAGCAAATTTTCTCTTAGGGTTTTTTTTTTGAGAGGTTTTTGCTATAGGGCCGTGTGCTCCCCAGAAAGACCAAAAGAGACTGAGAGAAAGTGAGAAATCACCCCCAGGGGGAATGGCCACACCGCAATCCCTTCTCCTCCATTCTCCTCTCAGGATCTTGGGCACGCACGCACACGCGCCCGGCGTGAGTTTAAGCCACTGGGTCCAGGACTCGATCTGCAGTCGACTACATGGGAGTCCAGCGACGTAGCCATTACGCCAACTGCTGGTCCCATTTAGGGATTTTTTCTTTTATATATAGGGCGAATGTGATCACCAGAGAGAGACAGAGGGAGAGGAAAGATGAGGAATTACTCCTTCACACCACCGGGTCTGGGACTCAAACCACAGAGCTGGACATGTGGGATCAGTGCCTTAATGACCATGCTACTTGGAGCACATTTTTATTTCTGTATTTATTTTTTAATTTTAATTTTTTTTGAGAGAGAGGTTTTTGCTATAGGGCATGTGTGCTCCCCAGAAAGACAGAGAGAAACAGAGAAAGAAAGGAAGAAATTAACCCCTGGGAGGGTGACCAAGCCACAATCCCTTCTCCTCCCTTCTCTTCTTGGGATTTTGGGCACGCATGCACACACATTTGACATGAGATTTTTAAGCCACTGGGTCCGGGACTCGAACTGCGGTTGTCTGTGTGGGAGTCCAGCGATGTAACCATCACACCATCTGCTGGCCCTGCACATTTTAATAAATAAAAATAAAATGAATATTTTGGGGGCCAGCCCCATAGTCTAGTGGTTAAGGGCACCAGATTCCACGTGGCCATCACAGTTCAAATCCCAGTCCTGGAGGCTGGAAAAACACAGAAAGCGCAGGCACATGCATGTGCCTAATCCTGGTGAGACGGAGAGCTGGAGGGAAAGGATTGTGCCACGGCTACACCTCAGTGGGGGTGACGGTGGGATGTTTCTCTTTCTCAGTCTCTCTCCCTGGAGAATTCATGTGCCCTCTGGAAAGAAAGGGGAAAAAAAGAATAATTTCTTAGGTTCCATATCATCCTAGTCTGTAATCCAGCATCTGGAAAGTGTCGTCCTCCTTTTTGTCTAGAAATAAACTATTTTCATGCATTCAGTTTTTATATCCCGTACATTCCTTCCAGATAAACTGCCACGTGGAAAACTTCCCCGCCGTCGCCTCTCCTGGGCACGCCACGGTCCGCTCAGTTGAGAGCACATCACCCGTTGTCCACCAGGTGGCGATGGAGGCCTGCGGACCGCGGACCGCGGCGGGAACCAAATGCCTGCAGGCTCCGGCTTTCAGACCTTCAGAGCCCATGTGAATAGAAGACACTGACATTTCAGAGCCTCAGATACTGGGACCAATCAAAAATTTTTTTCTTAAAGCTATGTTAATGAAACAGTATGTTTTGGTTGTTTTGTTTTGTTTTTTTAATGTAACAAAACAATACTGACCACCACTGCCTGGGTGGCTTGCTAAGATGTTTTCACTTCTTGGTGACCTGCTCATTGAAGCTATTTTCTGGGGAAGGGGTACTGTGATCCGAGTGTTCCCAAATCTCTTACATCAAGAGGCAGCCGGCCAGGTTGACCCCAGCTGCGGAGGCTGCCAGTGGCCCTGCTGACCCTGCGTCTCTCTGTTTCTCACTGCACTCACGGACTGACTGAATAATAATGCGTGGTCTTGGGAGGAGATTCCCCATCTCTCTGAGTTTCAGATTCTCATATACCAAATCATTTTTTTAAAGTTTCTTTGTTAGGGCCAGAGATGGCATAGCGGTTACATCACTGGACTCCCACATGGATGATCACGGTTCAAGTCCCAGACCCAGTGGCTTGAAATTCACTCTGGGGGCATGTGCATGCGTGCCCAAAATCCTGGGAGGAGAATGGAGGAGAAGGGATTGCTCTGTGGCCATCTCCCCTGAAGTGGCCCTCTCCCCTCTCTCTCTGGCGTGTGCATGTGCCCTATGACAAAAAAAAAAAAAAGAAAACTCTAAAAAAAAAGTTTCTTTATGTTTTGTTCATGACAGAGAGTGCATGAGAGAGAGAGAGACCTTCACCCTGGCCCCGCCGTGCCTGACTCCTGCCCTGTAGCTCCTTGGAGTCCAGACACCTCATACCAGGCCCAAGTGCCTCCGATGGCTGGGCCAGGGGTCGGAGGCAGGGGGCCGCTGCGTGGCCTCCAGCACCACAGTGTGGCACGAGCCCCACTGCACCGCTGAGGCGGGGCTAGCATGATTTATGGAAGTGCCCACTTTTTCTAAGGGGGGAATGATATTTTTTAACATACAGAGAACAATGCCTGTCACATAAGTGTTCCAAAAATGAAACAATTATTTTTATCTTGAACTTTCACCTTATTTTAAAAGTAAGTGTGGGGGCCAGGAGGCATCGTGTTAAGGTGGCTGGATCCCACAAGTCGAGCACTGTTCAAGTCCCAGGCCTGGCAGCTTGAGAATCACACCAGGTGTGTGTGTGTGTGTGTGTGTGCCCAGAATCCTGAGCGGAGAGTGGAGGAGATGGGGTTGGCCTGCGGGTATCCCCCGGGGGGTGATTCTCACTTTCCCGCTCTGTCTCTAGCAAGCTTCTGCCCCATGGCGGAAACTAACGACAAAGAACTGTGTGGCGTTACTTCTAGTGACGTGGTTGCACAACTTTCAATCTGTGCAAGTGAGTGTGTACAAGCGTCTGACGGTGCCTGTGCACACACGTGTGCACCCTAAGTACCCAAGGGCTGTGTCTGGTGCCTGGGGCGGGCTCTTATTTGTAGCTGCTGCAGTCTCTGGCTTGATCGGCCAGTTATGATGACAACAATAACGCAGAATGCACACAGGCCGGCAGGTGGCGCGGAGGTTAGGGGGTTAGACCCCATATAGCTGACTGAGCAGTTCAAGTCCCAGACCCAGAGGCTTGAAAAATACACTGGGCGCATGTGCACACGTGCCCAGAATCCTGAGAGGAGAATGGGGGAGAAGGGGTCGCAGCAAGGCCATCTCCCTGAGGGCGATTTCTCACTTTCACTGTCTATCTCTGTATCTCTCCAATGAGTACACGCACCCTATAGCAGAAGAAAAGAAAAAACACCCAAACGTTACCCACCCGAGTGTGAGCACGTCAAAACACGTTTCCCCACTCCAGTTAGCAGGAAAACTCATAGCACAGCCGTGGACCTGCCCTCCCCAAGCTGTGGAGACAGCGTGGCTCGTGGGACCTGGCTCCAGTGCCAACACAGGGCTGCACTAGGGTCCCAGGACCAACAGGACACTCTGCTCACCAGTCACAACTCGCCCAGACCCAGGAGGCAGGGACAGCGAGGCTTGGAGAGAACTCGCATGACCTATCCCCGGGATGCTGTGGGTCCGATCTCTGCAGGGGTCTCATTCAAAGATAGTGAGATAAATTCCGGTAAATAATATAACTCATGCACTTCCATCAAGGGCTGATGTCAGGTGTTTCACAAAAAGCAGAAGCTACAGCTCCCATAAGACCTCTCTGAACCTCGCCTCTCCCCAAACATCCCTGCTCCTGACAGCTGCCCGGGTTCCCCCTTTCTTGTTTTTCCCACCAATTTGCCAGAGTGTGCACATGTTTGCCAGAGAGAGAGAAAGATGGAGAGGGAGAGAGCGCCCCCATGGACGATCACGTCGTGATCCTGCCTGTCTCTCTCCCTCCTTTCGGGACTCTGGGCGTGTGCACACGTGCACCTGGTGTGTTTCTCAAGCTGCTGGGTCTGGGGCTTGAACTGCAAGGTCCGCCATGTGGGAACCGGCTGCCTGAGCACCGTGTCACTGGCTCGCCCGTCCCCGCCCAGTCTCAACGGCTCGGGCAGTTCTCTCATAGCTTCGCTTCCACGCTGCCTGCCCCTTCTTCCTGGGCACTGGTGGACACCGTCCACCACCCACACACGGCCAGGCAGACGTCGGGGCCTGTCTCCACCAGAAGTGGCATCCCCAAGAACGGATGTCTCTCACTGAGTGTTTTTCTCATGAGAAATTTTCTCAGGGAGAATTCCTAGGAGTCTCGTCCTCTACTTTGCTATATATTAAGAGGAGAGAATCTCTCGGGAGAACTTCCTGTGTAGACTATCCCTCTTCCACTCCGAGTCCAGGTGGCTCACGCCCTGTGATGGGGTAAGAGTGTGGGGCGTGGTGGAGACTGCTGGGCGTCCACTCCCTCGCACCTACGTGCAGACTCTTCCTGGCCCCTACTTACCAGTGAGGAAGGGTTACGACAGGAACCTCGATGAGAGTCCATCAGCCGATGAGACAGGGGACACCGGCGTCAACCCCTGGGCGTGAAACAGGAGGGTATTTAGATTATACTGAAATCAAAGTTGGATCTGCCTTCTAAAACCGTAAGGCAGGACCAGCAGATGGCGTGATGGTTGCCTCGCTGGATTCTCACATGGCTGACTGTGGTTTGAGCCCCAGACCCAGCAGCTTAAAGCAGCTTATGAGGTGAGTGCATGTGCCTTATAGCAAAAATCTCTCAAAAAAAAAAAAAAACAAAAAACTTTAAGGGCATTAATAAAAGTTTTTATAATGAGCACCTCAAACTAAGTGAAATCCAAATGTCAGAACCATTGGTTCTAGAACCTGGAACTGGGGGAAGCTTAGCACCCGTGCAGCAGAACGTCCCCATCGTGGGGACACCTGTTCCTGGATCCTCGGCACATGTGCATCCATAGGCTTGACCATAGCTGATGTATCAAAGTGTCACCCATGCGACTGGGTCGTGGAAGCATAACTCTCACAAAGTGTCCCAACCCGGGGGGACTGTCGAACGGGTTTCCTGAGTGAAGGAGTGAGAGCCGGGACAAGCAGCGTAGTGTTACAGCATGGAGACGACACAGTGTCTTCAGGGTCGCGGCATCTATTGTGAGCAGCACGGAGACGACGCAGTGTCACAACGCTCCAGGGTCGTCTGGAGACAATGTAGTGTTACAACTCTTCAGGGTCGTCTGGAGACTGTGTGGTGTTTCAGCTCTTCAGGCTCTCCAGGGTCGTCGTGGTCTTCCGGGTCGTCTGTGTTGTCTTCCTGGTCGTCTGGCTACTGTGGGCCAGGCATCGTGGTTATATACATGCTGGTGGGCCGTGATTGGTTGAATGAAGGATTGTAAAAGGTGGGTTATGATTGGTTGCTTCTGTGCACCAATCATGAGGTGCCGGATATGCAAATTTGAGGGATTCTAAGCTCACCTATTTGCTATGGGAAGTGGCCAATCAGAGTATGGTTCTGAAGGTGAGGTTTTTGAAGGGGAGCCAATCATGGCCTTTGGCATTGTGTAATTGTTTGCTTTATGAGAAACCGGCGATATTCAGTGGTGCGCAGCCTCCCACAACAAAGGGCTCCACGATGTCTTGAAGGCCAGCGCTCCAGCTGTCCTCACGGAGCGGGTCATGAGAACAGCGCGGCGTCTGCTCCCCAGCCCTCCTCGGTCAGCCACGCTGCTCACACCTGTGGGTGTGAGTCCAGTAAGCCTCTGTCCCTCACGATTCACCTCCTCAGGTCCTTCCGTGAGCCGTGCGATGTTGGATTAATGCAGGTTCTCTGCCCGTCTGACACTGATGATTGGTTTTGCTGTAGTCCTGGTATTTCTCACGTATTTGGGTATTAGTTCCGCACACAATGTGCAGCTGGCAGATTTTCGTCCCGTTGTGGGCGGTTTTTCCCCGACTGTTCCTTTCTTCGGTAGAAGCTTTTTAGTTTGATACAACCCTGTTTGTTATTTTTTCTCTGCTTGCCCGTGCTTTTGGGGTCATTTCCAAGAACTCTGTCCAAACCACCACTGTGGAGCTGGCCCCTGTGTTTTCTCCTAGTAGTTTTAGTTTCAGGTCTTACACATTTGAGTCTTTACCAATTTTTGCTGATTTTTATAGATGGTGTATTATACTGTTTCTTAAGAGAGATTTTTGCTGTAGGGTGTGTGCGCTTGCCCGAGAGAGACAGAGAGATAGAAAGTGAGAAATCCCCCCCAGGGGGGATGGCCATGCCACAATCCCTTCTCCTCCATTCTCCTCTCGGGATCTTGGGCACGCACGAACACACGCCTGGAGTGAGTTTTAAGCCACTGGGTCCGGGACTCGAACCGTGGTCGACTACATGAGAGTCCAGCAATATAACCATTATGCCATCTGCTGGTCCAGATATTACAAGTTTTTAAACACCTCGTCATCATATCGGTGCTCTAGCTTACCATTGTTCTTTTAAAAATAAGTAAATGACTTATTGCACTGTATTAGCATGTTCGACAGTATTTTTTAATTTGGCTTTTTTCTAAAGAAAGTACTGAGTGACCAAATCCTCTGTAACACAGAAACAGTCCCTCTTCTGATTTTTTTTTTTTTTTTTAGTTTTTGCCATAGGACATGTGCACTCACCAGAGAGAGACAGCAAAAAAGGAAGGGAAAGTGAGAAAGCATCCCCTGGGGAACGGCCATGCCACAGTCCCTTCTCTTCCATTCCCCTCTTGGAATTTTGGGCACACACATGCGCCTGGTGTGTTTTTCAAGCTGCTGTATCGAGGACTCAAACAGTTCAGTAGGCCATGTGGGATCCAGCCACCTTAACCACCACACTACAGGCTAGCCCCATGTGTTTATGTTTTTAAAATATGTTTCGTGGGACCAGCAGGTGGCGTGATGGTTAAGGCACTGGACTCCCACGTGGCCAACTGCAGTTCAAGTCTCAGACCTGGCGGCTTGCTTTCTCACTCTCTCTCTCTCAAAAATTAAAAAATGTTAATAAATAAATAAATTATTCCTTTTAAAAATAATGTGTTTCAAAAATATTAACCCCAACATCTATGTCTGTGAGAGAGTAATGAGAACACTGAAAGAGATATTAAGAAGATTAATTTGAAAAAGATGGAAAAAGCAGAGACTTAAAATAAAAATTATAATAATGAATATACAAAAATGGGATTAAAATATGAGTTTATTCTGATGCAAAAACATGCTAAATCCATGCATAGGTTTTATAATGTGCAGTCTCCCTGACCGTTGTTATGTCCCCCTAACACAGTCAGGCGGGAAACCCACTGGAGAGTAGGCACGGTCAGAGCGGAGAGGGAACCCTGCTGTCTGTGGGCGGAACCACGTCCCCTCAGGCTTCTTACAGGAGGTCCCAGCTGCTGCCCTTCGAGACAGGGGCCCCAGCTGGCTGCTCTCTCCCTCCACCACCCTGCCAGCTGAGGATGCTGAGGGACTGCGGCCCTCAGCAGGCTGGGAAGAGAGCCCTCACCAGGACCTCACCACGCGGGCACCCAGGTTTTCGACCTCCACCTCCAGAACTAGAAAAGGCATTCACGCTGTGGACGCTGCCACGCTGATCTGCCGTGGCAGCCCCAGCAGATTGACTCACCATTTTCCTGCAACGAACAAGAATCAGCAAGAAGACAGGTCACTGACGAACGGCAGCACCGCTGAGTCTGTGGTGAGGGGTCAGGGTCCACGCGGGGCACTCAGAGGTTCTAGCGTCTCCCAGGCCTACAGTAGCCCTGCTGAAGAAAGCCAGGGAAACGCCAGGCTCGGCTGATCTGGCCAACGCCAGCCTGAGTGGCAGCACCTGTTAACACATCAGAGCGCCTGAGAAGTTCCCGCAGGACCCTCACAAAGGCACGTCTCCTCCACAATGGGCTTGCAATGTAAATGGGAGATGCCCTTTGCACCCTGTCACTCCCAGTGTGGTCCGTGACGCAGCAGCATCTAGGACCTTGCTAGAAATGCACTCCTACCCAGTACACCCACATCTCAGCAGGACCCTCCTGAGGGCCCCATGCACAGGAAAGTCTGAGCGGCACTGTCCAACCGCCATCTGCACAGAGCAGGGAAGCCTGGCTCCAGCGCGACCCAGCACCCACTCCGGAGGGGACACACTGGGCCTTGAGCACACACGCTTCAGCTTACTCTGGACCTGGCGTGCTGGGACTCAGAAGCGGGGAACCTTCCAAACCTAACCTGCTCACAGAGTCCCGACGGCTCTAAACCGGGCGTGTCCCCTGCCTGCCTTCTGGAGCGCGCGCGGGACACTGTTTTCATGCGGGCCACCGAGGGCTGAAGCTTGGAATGTTTGTTTGGCAAGGATAGCAGCGATGCCCTCAGGAGCCCAAGCCTGCAGCAGGTGTTTGGTCAACGACCGCTCCCTTACTGGACTCCCTTGGGAATAGCAGGCTGTGAATCATCAGGTGGCGGAGGCCCGTGGCCCGGTTATTACACTCCCGCGGGACTGCCAGGGCTGCTCACTTTAACTAATTGCTGCAGCCCTGGTTTCTGTGGTTGTTGCTATAGGGCGTGTGTGCTCCCCAGAGAGACGGGAGGTGGGAGTGCGGTATGCCCCAGGGTGGGAGGCCGCACTGCGATCCCTGCCATCCCTGCTCTCAGGAGTTTGGGCACACACGCATACTCCATGTGTTTCCCAAGCCACTGGGTCTGAGACTCGAATGTGCAGTCGGCCGTGTGGGATCCAGGGTCTTACCCTCCGTGCCGCCTGCTGCTCCTGGTTTTCTTCTCTCTCCTGTGCTTACTGGGCCAACTACAGTGATGTCACCCTCTGCGAACCTGTGCTGGCCTTCCCTGCGTGAGTCCCTCTGCCGGCTGGGCAGCAGGTGTCTGCAGAGCCACCAGGTCCAGCAGGAGCAGACGGCCTGCCAGGAACGAGGCCTTAGGACACCTGCGGCTGTGCAAGGGTCCAAGATGTGGTAATTAGTGTCAGTTTGCCATCTTTTTCTTTTCTTTTAGAATCTTAGCTGTGGAGTCAGTGGGTGGTGTGGTGGTTATGTCGCTGGACTCCCACACGGTCGACCACAGGTCAAGTTCCGGACCTGGCAGCTTAAACTCACGCTGGGTGCATGTGCATGTGTGCCCAAAATCCCGAGAGGAGAATGGAGGAGACAGGATTGCATGGCCATCCCCAGGGGTGATTTCTCACTTTCGGTTTCTCTGTAGAGTACATATGCCCTATAGCAAAAGTCTCTCAATTAAAAAAAAAAAAAAAAGAATCTTGGCTGTGCCGTAGACAGTTTGAGACTTAAATCATAGCTAAATGACAGCAACATACGTGTTCAAATACACAGGGTGTGTGAAATGGTTTTCCCACCAAGTGTGAGTGGAGGGACTCAGCTGGGGTTCCGTGATGGAACGTGAAACGGAGACTCGCGAGGGGCAGGAGGGAGCACCACGGCAAGCCTGCAGGGCAGATAGAGTGAGGGCTTCGGGGTTCACGGGAAAGTGCACCTCGTTAAAGCATCGGGCCAGTCCCATGGCTCAGTGCTGAGGCCTAGAGCCCAGACGGCCAACCGCATGGTTTGCGTCTTAGATCCAGCGGCTTGAGAAGCGCTGAGCTGGTGTGCACCCAAAATCCCCAAAGGAGGGAGAGAGGGAAGAGAGAGGTCTGCAGGGTGACTGTTCCATGGAGGTGCCTTCGCTTCCTCAAGCAAAAAAAAAAAAAATTATGCAGATATTTCTGGGGTTTTAAGGGCACCAAAATAATGCTTTAATTCAAAAAAAGTACTTTTAATTCAATTTCCCCCCGAACTTTCTGAAGTGCCCTCTGAAGTCAGTAGGAATATACGGAGAAGACTGTGGGGGCAGGCCTCCTCTCCTTAACGGGCACCGCCAGGCCCGGCCCGGCCCGGCCTGCACGCGGCATGTGCCTAGATCAGCTGCAGGAGCTGAGCAGGGCCGATCCTCGTGTGGGGAGAGAGGCCGAACAGAGAACGCACTTCGTCTTCTCCAACCGCAGAGGGGAGCTCCAAACTGGTGAAGGCAATCCGGTGGAAGAGTGCGAAAATCCAGGCCACGATAGAGAACTGGGCTACTATTTCTGGAGGGAGGCAGCTGCGTCAGGCTCCGGGGACCCATTACGGAGAATGAGTCCTGAAGTGTGATGGCACACGGGCACACGGGCCACAGCCTGGCACTCAGCAAAGCCCCTTCAGTTTGGGGCAGGGACCCACATCTGTTCCAGCACTACTGCACTGACGTGGCCGTAGAGTCAGCACCTGGGTCCACACTCGCATCGGACAATTCGAGGTGGCATCGGGACAGTGCATTGGTGGCACTGTCATCACAAATCCACAAAATACAGCTTTATTATGTTTTAAGTTTGCTTGCCATAGAGCATGTGGAGATGGAAAAAGAGAACTAGAGGGGGAAAGTGAGAAATCAACACCCCCCATCCCTGCTGGGGGAAGGCCACGTTGCAATCCCTTCTCCTCCATTTGCCTCTTGGGACTTTGGGCATGCACGCACACATGCCTGGCATGATTTTCAAGCCTCCATGTTGGACTCCAGTGCCTTAATCACCGCACCACCTGCTGCCCGCCCCCCCAATATCATGTGGGTTTGTTTCTTAGATTTTTGCTATAGGGTGCATGTGCTCGCTGGAGAGACAGAGAAAGTGAGAAATCACCCCCCAGGGGGAATGGCCACCTCACAGTCCCTTCTGCCTTCTCCTCTTGGGACCGTGGCCACCCATGCACATTGCCCGGTGTGAGTCTTAAGCTACTGGGTCTAGGACTCCGACAGCAGTCGCCTACACGGGGGTCCAGAGATAACCTTTGCACACCTGCTGGACCCATCATTCGGTTTTTGCTTTGTGTGTGTTTTTTGTTTTTTTGGTTTTTGCCATAGCGCATGTGTGCTCACTAGAGGAAGACAGTGAGAAGAAAAGTGAGACATCGCCCGTTGGGGGTGGCCATGCTGCAATCTTTTGTCTCCATTCTCCTGGGATTATGGGCACACCCACACATGCCCTGCGTGACAGCAGGTCTGAGACGTGAACCACGGTCAGCAACCTGGGAATCCAAAGCCTTAACTACCATGCCACCTACTGGCCCCAAAATATCACTCTTAGGGGTTGGCAAAAAGTTGGAGTGATTTCTGAAAAAGAGACTCTCGTTTGTCAAAGTAAACAGGAACGAGCCAATCAGCTGGGCTTTGCGGTTCAACACAGGGGTTCTCCAACGCCGGTGCATCGGTCCGGTGCATCAGCACTGCCTGGCGAACCGCGGCTCATCTTAGAGTCTTGGGTTCCGCAGGTCTGGGGGTGAGTCTGAGAATTTGCATTTCAAACACAGGGAGCTCTGTTGCTCTAAAGAGTGTTGGAACAGTCTGAATATGCAGGACGGAAACCCCTTTGACAAACAAGGAGGTATGCTGTAATTAGCAAGGCCCTGGAAGGGAGTCCAACCTAGGCTGCAGTGGAAGAGATCACTCACCATTGCTGCAGACGTTACTTGAGCTGCACCTGCCTCTTCCCCCGTGTTAGCTGGGGGCCCGGATGTGGTAATTAGTGTCAGTTTGCCATCTTTTTCTTTTCTTTTAGAATCTTAGCTGTGGAGTCAGTGGGTGGTGTGGTGGTTATGTCGCTGGACTCCCACACGGTCGACCACAGGTCAAGTTCCGGACCTGGCAGCTTAAACTCACGCTGGGTGCATGTGCATGTGTGCCCAAAATCCCGAGAGGAGAATGGAGGAGACAGGATTGCATGGCCATCCCCAGGGGTGATTTCTCACTTTCGGTTTCTCTGTAGAGTACATATGCCCTATAGCAAAAGTCTCTCAATTAAAAAAAAAAAAAAAAGAATCTTGGCTGTGCCGTAGACAGTTTGAGACTTAAATCATAGCTAAATGACAGCAACATACGTGTTCAAATACACAGGGTGTGTGAAATGGTTTTCCCACCAAGTGTGAGTGGAGGGACTCAGCTGGGGTTCCGTGATGGAACGTGAAACGGAGACTCGCGAGGGGCAGGAGGGAGCACCACGGCAAGCCTGCAGGGCAGATAGAGTGAGGGCTTCGGGGTTCACGGGAAAGTGCACCTCGTTAAAGCATCGGGCCAGTCCCATGGCTCAGTGCTGAGGCCTAGAGCCCAGACGGCCAACCGCATGGTTTGCGTCTTAGATCCAGCGGCTTGAGAAGCGCTGAGCTGGTGTGCACCCAAAATCCCCAAAGGAGGGAGAGAGGGAAGAGAGAGGTCTGCAGGGTGACTGTTCCATGGAGGTGCCTTCGCTTCCTCAAGCAAAAAAAAAAAAAATTATGCAGATATTTCTGGGGTTTTAAGGGCACCAAAATAATGCTTTAATTCAAAAAAAGTACTTTTAATTCAATTTCCCCCCGAACTTTCTGAAGTGCCCTCTGAAGTCAGTAGGAATATACGGAGAAGACTGTGGGGGCAGGCCTCCTCTCCTTAACGGGCACCGCCAGGCCCGGCCCGGCCCGGCCTGCACGCGGCATGTGCCTAGATCAGCTGCAGGAGCTGAGCAGGGCCGATCCTCGTGTGGGGAGAGAGGCCGAACAGAGAACGCACTTCGTCTTCTCCAACCGCAGAGGGGAGCTCCAAACTGGTGAAGGCAATCCGGTGGAAGAGTGCGAAAATCCAGGCCACGATAGAGAACTGGGCTACTATTTCTGGAGGGAGGCAGCTGCGTCAGGCTCCGGGGACCCATTACGGAGAATGAGTCCTGAAGTGTGATGGCACACGGGCACACGGGCCACAGCCTGGCACTCAGCAAAGCCCCTTCAGTTTGGGGCAGGGACCCACATCTGTTCCAGCACTACTGCACTGACGTGGCCGTAGAGTCAGCACCTGGGTCCACACTCGCATCGGACAATTCGAGGTGGCATCGGGACAGTGCATTGGTGGCACTGTCATCACAAATCCACAAAATACAGCTTTATTATGTTTTAAGTTTGCTTGCCATAGAGCATGTGGAGATGGAAAAAGAGAACTAGAGGGGGAAAGTGAGAAATCAACACCCCCCATCCCTGCTGGGGGAAGGCCACGTTGCAATCCCTTCTCCTCCATTTGCCTCTTGGGACTTTGGGCATGCACGCACACATGCCTGGCATGATTTTCAAGCCTCCATGTTGGACTCCAGTGCCTTAATCACCGCACCACCTGCTGCCCGCCCCCCCAATATCATGTGGGTTTGTTTCTTAGATTTTTGCTATAGGGTGCATGTGCTCGCTGGAGAGACAGAGAAAGTGAGAAATCACCCCCCAGGGGGAATGGCCACCTCACAGTCCCTTCTGCCTTCTCCTCTTGGGACCGTGGCCACCCATGCACATTGCCCGGTGTGAGTCTTAAGCTACTGGGTCTAGGACTCCGACAGCAGTCGCCTACACGGGGGTCCAGAGATAACCTTTGCACACCTGCTGGACCCATCATTCGGTTTTTGCTTTGTGTGTGTTTTTTGTTTTTTTGGTTTTTGCCATAGCGCATGTGTGCTCACTAGAGGAAGACAGTGAGAAGAAAAGTGAGACATCGCCCGTTGGGGGTGGCCATGCTGCAATCTTTTGTCTCCATTCTCCTGGGATTATGGGCACACCCACACGTGCCCTGCGTGACAGCAGGTCTGAGACGTGAACCACGGTCAGCAACCTGGGAATCCAAAGCCTTAACTACCATGCCACCTACTGGCCCCAAAATATCACTCTTAGGGGTTGGCAAAAAGTTGGAGTGATTTCTGAAAAAGAGACTCTCGTTTGTCAAAGTAAACAGGAACGAGCCAATCAGCTGGGCTTTGCGGTTCAGAACAGGGGTTCTCCAACGCCGGTGCATCGGTCCGGTGCATCAGCACTGCCTGGCGAACCGCGGCTCATCTTAGAGTCTTGGGGCCCGCAGGTCTGGGGGTGAGTCTGAGAATTTGCATTTCAAACACAGGGAGCTCTGCTGCTCTAAAGAGTGTTGGAACAGTCTGAATATGCAGGACGGAAACCCCTTTGACAAACAAGGAGGTATGCTGTAATTAGCAAGGCCCTGGAAGGGAGTCCAACCTAGGCTGCAGTGGAAGAGATCACTCACCATTGCTGCAGACGTTACTTGAGCTGCACCTGCCTCTTCCCCAGTGTTAGCTGGGGCCCTGAGCGGGAGGAAGATCAGAGAAGGCTTACCTGCTACCTAACACACGAGTCAGCCTGTTTTCATACCAGGGCCCAGGGACCGCAGATAGCTGTGGGAAAGGTGCTGGGCAGAGCGGGCAGGGGCCCCCGCGACAGTGCAGGACCCGAGCAGGGCCTGGGTTAGACTCCCGGCTGCATCCTTGCCTGCAGAGGCCAGGCCCCTCCTTCCCTCCAGCTCAGAGAGAGCAGTTCTCATGCCAGGGGCATGACCTGCTTTAGGGACGGCCAGAGTCCTCCCGACACCTGCCACAGGTGTGGTTAAGGTGTTGGGCTCTCACGTGGCCAACCGTGGCTTAGAGGCTTTGACCCAGTGGCTTGGCTTTTCACTCGCCCTGTCTCTCTGGTGAGCACACGTGTCCTATAGCAAAATTTAAAAAATATGAATAGTAAACACAATTAAATAAATACCATTTAAAAATGCCTTCCGCCAAAAGCACCCAATAAGCCCATGAGCCAGATAGCACATCCTTAATGCCATCATGAACACATTTTACGATAGTGTGGCCAATTAGTGGAATGCGGAAGCAGTTGGGGTGCTGCAGATTGTGGACAAGATCTGTGAAAACATAGGGTTCCAATCCTCCTGTCCCAGAGTCTCCTCCCCAGACACCCGGTTCGCCTTCTCAAGCGCAGAGGCTATTCCAGGGGCCAGGCCGCAACCTCTACTGCCTCACCCCAGCGGACTGCGCAGTTGAAGACCCTGAACTCGGCTCCGAAGACGCTCTGAGCTCGCTTGCAAGCTCCAAGTCCCGTCAGTTCCGGGCAACTAAAGGGGAGCTTTGCGCCATCCTAGCCTGCAGCACGCTCTGTGCCCCGCACGGCTTTCCGGTAAATTAGACTTCTCGTCCCTCCTGATTCAGTGTCCCTGAGCAATTCATTCCCAGTACAGAGTGGAATGACATACTCGGGGCTCCAAGACCGCAAAACGTCTTGGGGGATGCAGTCCAGGGCCTGCCAGGCGGCCTGCTGGACAGACCGAGCGGGCCGTGGACTGTGCGGGCGGGGCGTGCTCAGCACCCTGCCTGCCATCGCGCCCTCGGCACGGCGACGCGGGGAGCCAGCCGGGCCCCAGGTGGGAGTCGTCCCCGACACCTGAGGGCCCGCACCTGGAACCCCCGTGCTCACCGAGATGGGTCCTCTCGCGGCAGAGCAAGTCCGCGCCCCGGCCGCGTGTGCGGGAACGCCCCTCTGCCCTGGGCGCTGCGGGGCGCGCACCAACACAAGCCCGACCCGCCCCGCGGTTCCGACGCGTGGGAGGCTGGGTGCGGCCCTGCGTCGCCCGGGGCCGAGCATCACTCTTCAGCTCTCCGGCCTCCAGCACCGCCCCCAGGCCTC